TTTTCCGTATCGCAAAACTCGGCAAAGAGTTTCTCCCATCTCTCTTTGAAGAGCATGGGGTCCTCACCAGTACACCAACGTCCCTGGATAGCGGAGAACGCCAAGTTCTCATTCAAGAGATCAGCAGACCGTGACGAGCTTGACTCAACGGAATTCCTGGCTGCACCTGGAGGGGACGGGAAAGATCGGTCCAGCTTCTCATAGTTATGTCTCATTACATCTCGATGGAACTTCATCAGCTCAACAACTGTGGCCAAAACCACTGATGGTTCAGGGATATTTTCCTTGGGCCACGTGAATTGCGAAGGGGCCGAACCTTCTCTGAGAAGCAATTTCAACTTCTTTTTAACCTTATCCATCAGATCCTTCGCTGCATTGGAGTCATCCAAAAGATCCTTTCTAACTTGAATAAAGCCTTCAGGAATCTCTTTCTGATCAAGAAAAGAACAAGCCCAAATTTGAGCTTTGTGCATGTGTTAGCTTAGCTGTAACTCAATTGCAATCAATAAAAAGGTAAAACTCACCGCTTGTACTCACTCTTCGTTCTGAGCTGGTGAATATCTGGACATTATCCAAAGCCTCTTTATTCATTAATTTCAAGTCATCACGCATGTTTAGGCCAAGGTCTTGAGATTGGTATCGCGCTGCATGTGTTGGCTCTCCTCCCCACTTAATCACAAGTTGGAGTTTATCAAGGATAAGACCGTTTTCAACAGCAGAGAACCTTGAAAATGTGGCATCAGATATTGAATCACTTCTGGTCTGCGACCTGCCCATGTGCTCGCTGTTATTAACTGCATCACTAGGTAATGGAGACAAGGGTTCCCTTTCAACAGTTTCAGATGATACTGATAACTGTCCCAGATCTCCTTCGGGCTCTCGTCTCTTGAACATGGGCTTGATTTGTACCTTTGTTCCAGGCCAACCGCCCTTCTTCTCTAAAGAAGTGCGAAGCAGTTTTAGCTTGTCTGCATCCTCAAGCCCTTGATCCATTGCAAGGCTAACAGCCTCTGATACACTGCGAAGTGCAGATTCACCTTTAATCACAACCTCTTCCTGATGGCCCTTCAATAGATCAATGAAGGGTTGACTGTGAAAAGTGAACTTGAACTTCTGCTTTGGCGTTCGATCAGCATGTCTGATAACAGCAACCATGCCCTTTAGCTTCCATGAGTGCTTCGAGGCAGGAGGGGGAGGATTTGCCTCAATTGAATTATGCATTGTAGGGGATGGTTGATTTGCATTCTGGGGGGTATATTGACCGGGGGACGCTGACTGTTCTCTCGAACTCACGCCTCTATGGCCACCGCTATAGCCAATACCATCTTGCTTGGGTGATGTAAGGCCAGGGTGTAATGACTCCGACGAACCAACATCTGCGTCCTTTTGGTGTTGTTGGGTCCCACTGGACTTTGATGATGAACCGGGTGGCTTCAATAATGTTTTCAGCGCATGTTTGTGCGATACTGAATGCCTCCACGGGTGATGATTGGGATCCGAAGAAGATGCTTCGGAGGCATCCAAGACCCCTTCTCGCCTGCGTCTCTCGCTGATAAAGGTATCCCTGAGAATACTAGCGCACCTGTCGTAGTAGTCATTATTATCCTTCACAAAGCTCCACCCATTGACGTCGATTACATAGCTTCTCTCGCCAACACGAAGCATGTCGAAGCCACAAATTCTCTGTCCGAAACCGTGAGATATTTTGGAGGCTATTGACGCCTCTTCTTTGCTCAATTTAGTGATATATCTCAACTCCTTTCCATGAGTGTTGCGACGGACGAGACCGTCAACAACAGGGGACTTTCGCGTCTCTGCATGACAGAAATCGGGGCCGACTGTGTAAGCCTTGACATCCTCTGCATTGTCCACCCTCAAAAACTGTTCGTAGATATAGCTTGAGCCATCCTCTAGAATCGACCGGGGAGTGTGCAGGTCAGGATCATATTCAGAACTTTTGTTTCCGACTTTTCGGAAGAGTCGTCTACCACCCCCCCCGTACTGCTGGTCCTTGGGGAAGTAGATATGAATATTGTGATCTTCTCCGCTCACCGGCTTTTCAACGAAAGGTTTTCTGAAGTGTTTACCATCAACGACGAGGGAATCCCCGTCGTCAGACAGAGTGACATTCTTCGTTTTAGGAGCACCTCCACCTGTGCCATCCGTAGGGCCGTCAAGTTTCACACCTGTGAGGTTGTACACATGCTGCGCAAGCTCTGGGGATTCCAAAATTGGTCCACCGTCTCGGTTGACTTCTATTCTCTTTGGAGTGGGGACACTCATATGGTCCAAGATGCGCAGGCACAATCGCCGATCCCACAGTATCTTTTGCATGGGCAAATCATTAACACAAAAAGGCTTTCTTAGTCTTGCGTAGGCAATAGCCTTGTCAAGCGGGAAACCATCTGAGAAAAACGCTATAAGAAAGTCGCATACAGGCCAATTCTCAACAGCCTCATCAAGAATCACCTTGTCGCCGAAGACAATGACCTCGAAATCGCCTCTGGATTGCAAACGAGTGAGAATATTTTGACTAGGTTTGCTTCGAGCCTTTACGTCCAATGCGCACACGCCAATTTTGCCCCAGTATGCAGGGGGTACTTCCGCCTCGCTAATAGAGCTTGCTGCCGTACTACCACTCATCCTCCTTGGGGCCCGGCTTGAGGATCGAGTAGACGAGCGCGCCCCTCGGCTTTGATTTGGTACATCAGAAGTATGGTCGGACCGGGGAGTTTTTGACTGCGGAGCTTGGACACTCTGAGAAGAGCCCTTTATAGAGGTAGATGCTGACGAGTGACACGAAATGCCGGCTGAAGGCTGTTCTTCATCAGGACTAAAGTTCATAATTGACGCAGTAGGCTTGGGAGATGCCTCCAAGCCTTCGAAAGCCCTGCTGGTGTTATCACTCGTGCAATCATCCAAGAAGACCAGAGAGATTGTATAAGTAATGGGTGGCAGATCACAATCAAGGTGCTCGTTCTTGGCTTTGTCAGTACCAAAACCTAGAGTGAATTGGGTTTCCATACTAACAAGTTCAGGTTATTTGTCTTGACTTTGTCCTTGAGAGGTAGACAGACTTAAAGGCGATGGAATAAGGATATCCGAAACTCCATGTTTCCCCCCTTGGTCTTCGGGACACAGTTTTGGACGCGTGGCTCACTTGCAAGTTGCCGAAAATGTCTTCACTTTAATATGCGTGTACTTGTGTTCATCAGGGTGCAAAACACTAAATAACTCAGGGTGATGAGGGTGTTGTTTGTGATGTAGATTGGAGTGATGGAAAACCCTGTGGCCGTAGTCGGTAGATCAGGGACGCTCATTGTCATCAAAAGGGCCATCGCCACAACGGTTCCACTGGGTCGCGGTACGCTCGATTTCTTTGACCAACAACTGGAATACCTCCTTTATGTGGTCCAGGATAGCAATTGGGCTGTAATGGGGGTTCATAGTGATTGATAGTGAAGACAGATTAGCAATTAAAATTACGGATGGCCTGCATGCAGCCTTTTTCAACATGTATTAGGAATTGGATGCTTGAGATTATTGAATGTGCCAATGCAGACAGTCCGAGTACAGAGTATACTACCTATTAAGTAAGAATTCTACGGAGCATGGTAATGCACTTGTATTTTGACAAGAAATCCAATTAGAAAGTTGAACCATAATGAATTTCTTGGCAGGCAATGTCCTGCAGCTAGTTAAGTACAAAGTATCTTGTTTGTTCATCCATGCATCCCAGGATTTACAGGCAGTGATCAACACCAGCCTACAAATCAACGGACTACATATATAAGTACAGAGTAAGAATAATCTATTAACCATAGCGCGGATCTGGATTGACCTTGGGAGTACAGTTTCTGCAACTGGATTCTGCTACTTGTGTGTATATAATAATACACTCGATGACAGGGTCGTTAATCAGCAAGCACCTACCGTAATAAGAAGAATATCCCTCGAGTTTAGAAAAGCTGATACAGAGGATTTGTTTCAGTAAATCTGCTCGATCATGCCACTTGCTATGGATCCAAGTTTCCCCTCTGAAATAGTTGTGATACCGTCCACCCTTGCCCCTAGCTTTCCTGGACATTATCCTCACGATCTTCCTTTTCAGATGGAGTAGCAGCTTAGGCATAGTTCGGAAAATGTCTCGAGGTTTAACGGGATGGTATATCTGTTATGGTCGTTGCCTCGTATTTTGCGAGCCTTTAATTCGCGAGCCTTTAATTCGCGGCAATGTACAAGACTAATGATAGCATAAAATTGTCAGTTTGGCTGTAATCTAGGTATCCGGAAGGAGCATACTACCATTATTCCCGCGAATAAAGGCGTCCCCATAGCTGCGTGTCAACTGTCCGCTAACATATTCTTGGGACTTTTCCAGCGCAATGTTCATATAGCCATCGACCGATTGAAGTTCGCCTGAACCTGATTGTTAGCCATTTACCGTGCCTCTGCTCATGGTAGGCTCAGAAAGAGACCTTTGTAAACGACACCGGAATTCAGCTTCACTGTTACAGGAGCTCCGATTATCTCACCCAGAAAGGCGGATGGATCCTTCCCTTCGGATGATGCGCCATTCTCCATTTTTCGATCACGGTTCTCTTCTCTTTGCTTGAAAAACCAGGGGTTGAGGCGAGGGATTTCTCTTCAGCGCCGTGGACTTGAGAAATTGAGCGTGTTGCTACGGATATCTAGACGGGAGCCCAGCACTGGCACGTGCCGGGCCACGCTCCCCCCGCGGGGCCTACATCCGTAGGCCACCAAACGACTGGTGGAATCATCGCGGGGCCGACCGTACAACCCCAAAGATTACAACCTGAAGATTTACATGCATACATAGTCACATACGCCTTCCAAAAATGCCCACTTCAAACCCCCAGCAAAATCACTACATTTGACAGCATCCGAATCTGAGAGAAGGAACCGCATACTACTATTACTTGTGCCATCGGGAACCGGAAATAGCATTACTCTCTGACCGCCAGCCAGCAAATCTACCAATGCGATCTTTCTTCAAGAAGCCCGCGTGGGCGAGTCAACGGGGTGAAGATGAGGACCCTGAGTTCTACCGCCGTGGCCCCCAAGTATACAGAGACATTGTTGCTACCACCAAAAGCGCACAGCAACGACGAGCAAGCTCACCCGTGGGCGATCCACACAGACACAAACGTCAACGTCACTCAATTCCGTCGCATGATGGAACTAATCCAAGCGGCATCGCACAAGGCACAGCAGCTGAATTAAGAGCTTCCGTGAAGAATCCACATCGTGCGCAAATTTCTCCTGGGCATAGCAGCTCTAACACCAGTCTTGATGAGCCCCAAGCAACACATCAACTCCCGGGCCCCAATAACGAAGCATCAACTACAAGTACGAAAGGTTTAATACCCCCAACACCTGAAGTCTCACCGCAGAGCAAGTTACTGGTCTCGAAGGCGAGTCCTGCACCATCGCCTCCCGTCACGATCAATATCAGGAAAGCAGATGCCTATAAGAAAGGTGTTATGGACGGCACAAGGTCACCAAGCAATCAAGGCATAACCCGTAGTGCCCGGGACACTGCTTATGATAACACAGTTGTTCACATTCTTATCACATCAGAACTCGCCAATACAAAGCCTCTGATTATTCAACGCAAAATGTCACAATCTCTGAAAGGAGTGCGCCTTGCATGGTGTGCACGACAAAATCTACCAAACGAGCTTCACCAGGCTGTATTCTTGACTTGGAAGGGCCGAAGGCTCTTTGATGTCACAACCTGTAGAAGCCTAAATATCAGTGCCCATGCCAAGGAACAGTCACCGTTTGATGAGTTTTTCACCAATGAAGATGAGTGTCATGTCAATATGGAAGCCGTCACCGAAGAGATCCATGCGGCCAGGCATCGATCACCACCGAACATGGTTCAGTTTAATCAAACATCCCCTGTGTTGGCGGAGTCACAAAATGCTGGACAACATGCTGGAATTGAAATCATACTCAAGTGCCCTGGTCACAGTGACTACAGAATTCATGCCCCCGTGGCAGCAAACATCTCTCAAATTGTTGGAGCATTCCGTGAAGCGAGAGGTATAACCCCTGATTTGGCTGTGTACCTTGCCTTCGATGGTGATCGCCTTGATCCCCAATCTTGCCTGGCAGACCATGACATAACGGACGGAGATCTGATTGATGTTCTCATACAGCACGGCAAATGACCGAGGGAGAGAAAGCTCATGTAAATGTGTTTTCCTTCTGCGAAATCAATGATCTCACCTGTAATTAATGAGAGTAGAAAGCTGAGCGTTTAGCCGACATTATGGCAACTATACCAGCACATTTTGATTCCCGTGAAAATAGATAAATGGTTCGTCGTAGAGAGAGTCTATTATTTTGTAGATGGGCGAAAGGTAATCACCACTGGATACGCTAACTACGCCGAAGTCGAACCTCCGATTTATGCATCTGATAAGATAAGATCAATTCGAACCTTGCGCGGGGCGGGAGGAATTTTCTGACGTTCGACTATCTCCGCGAAGCTCGAACAAGTCCTCGTACCCATCATACCTCTGCTTCAAAGGGTGCTCGAAGTGAAACATGAAGCTTCTCACAGCAAATTTTCTGACATGTGCTGTCAAGTCTTGCAAGGGATCTCCTGCAGCATTCCCCCTCCATTTCCGTGACGTCGAGCTTGAGCTTCAGGACGTTGATTTTCAAGCTGATTTCATCCGCAATATTATCAACCGCGTTGATTGGGAGGGACTGCATAAGATGGCGAATGAAGTATGTAACATCAATCACCTTATGATCGATCCCAAGCGTGTCAGAGAGCTGACTATCTCGCCCATGCCAAATAGCTCAATTTCCTGAACATCCCACAGAGCAAGCCAGAAGGCGCAGCGCTGGAAAACGAGCAGCTCTTGAGAGACCTCCACCGGCTGCTGCTGGAGACCCAGGTTTCCGAGGGCAAGCTCATATGCGGCAACTGTGGTCATGAATACATGATCAAAGAAGGAATTGCGAACTTTTTGCTTCCCAGTCATCTAGGTTTGAGAGTTCGCCCTCCTCAAACTGGTGCTTACTGACGTGCCTCCCCTAATACCAGTGTGATATTCTTTACCGGCTCTGTAAGGATCATTTTACTGCATCTCAACATGCCATCGACGATTTGCAGAAGGATGAGTCATATGCTTCACAAAAGTGGCCGAGTTGTTCAGGCTCACTACGCCTGATAATCCATGCAAGGTCTATCCGAATCCTTGATCTTTCTTAGGTGGAACATGATAAGGGAGATCTCCTATGATACAGCAGTTGCAAGTTATACATAACCCGTGTCGCACAGCCATTGTCTCCGAGCGGGGATGGAGACCCAAGTACAACCCACAATTGCGAAGACCATCCGGAACGCCCAAACGTAACATGCACAACATCGCCCCGGGCTCATACCTTTGTCGTGAAACAAGCCTTGTAAGGCTCAAAATGTCATTATGGGAAACCAGTGATAAGCGTTAGAAGTGAAGTGGAATACTCGCCGGTTGTGAATGCAAGGATTCTCAGTTCAGAAAGCCTTTACATCCGGCCGAGCCGCAAAGGCAAGGGATTCTGTCATCGCTATCCCATTCCCTCTCAAATTTGTAATCGTATGTTAATTCTTCATCTGCGACAAGATCAGCAAGTCATCGCATGTATGAATGGCCTAGATCCTAAACCCACCCCTTTCAATGTCTCTCAATGCGTAGATGACTATTCGTTTGCTCCCGTCAACCTTGATGATCTTAGCTGTGCAATTGGGCGTGCAGCTATGATTGATGAATCTGGCAATGCCGCCCCTTTTTGTGGCATCTATAACTGTGTTTTCATCAATTCGGAAGAGGTAGCTACTGCCGATGCCGCTTTTCAGGTATCGCCGCTCTCTCATATCGGCAACCTGCTGCCGGACCTTCTCCCCCACGTATTCGATAATCATTTCGTTCGCAGATATATTAACTTCAGCATAGAGCCCCCAATTATGGATGGCTGACCGTGCGAACCGTACAGGCTTCTTGCGCTTCTTCAATTGGTTGAATCGGAGAACATCACTATCACCACTCTGGGAAGGGAGAGCTTGTTTCTGGGCGTTGATATCAGCGATCAGCCTGCGATTATTAACTCTTGTCGAACGAGAGGTTGATTTAGATATCGTCTTTGCTGCTGCGATCCGAGCCGCCTCGGCAGCAGCATTCTGCGGATCGCTCTTGGCCTTGGCCTCACGCTCCTCGCGAGCCTTCTGGACCTTGATACGATGCGGCAGATATTTCGATTTCTCCGATTCGAGAATCCGCTTTCTGCCTTCAGTCCGAGCAGCTCCCGTAGTATTTGGTACATAATAGCCATCAATGCTAGCAGACTGCCGTGTGGGCCCTACGTCGCCGGGGCAATTGAGAGCCTTGATTTCTTTCTGTCTCCATGCCCAAGCAGGCAGATTACGGATGACAGATGTCGGCTGGCCCTTCAAAATATCACGAAGAAACTGCAGATCTTCTTCATCCTTTACCATGTTCTGCCAACCGTCAAGGTCCAAAATGACGGAATCATCGTCGTCAACAACAGGCCTAGGCTCATCATTGGATACTGCCCATTCAACTTCGCGCCGAGCCCCATCGTGACGTCCGCCCTGCTCGACCATATCCGATGCTGATGAATCTGAGTAACCATGGTTCAAAGATTTGGTATCAGGCTCTGAGCGCTTAATTTTAGTATCTTCAACACCCCCGTCAGGTAGACCTTTGTTGCTATCCAGAGGTAGCAAGTAGTCGGTGGAATCGGACAATCGCTGGGGAACAGCGACCCTTTGGTCGCTGACCATTGACTGCGATATGTCGCCTGTCCGCGTTTCCTCAACCACGGAGATGTCGTCAGCCTCCTTTTGTTTCTTGCGCCGACCGAGAGTTTCACTAAGCCTTTTCCTCTTACGTGAAGGATCATAATCTGGAATCGCAGCTTCGGAGTCGCCAACCTCAGGGTGTGTTTCTGCTTCGTGTGGCCTTTGATCTTCAGATAATTCGGTTGCATCTTCATCAGCATCATCGGAATCAGTTCCCGAACTCATCCGACTGGGAGGACGACTGTCTTGATCATCGGTATCTCTAGAAAGTGGCGTGTGCTGCTCATCGTCAGAGTCCTCTGCATCATGTAGTTGCTGCAACCTGTGATAAAGCGGCCGGACATCTTTCCTTCGCAGTGGCTGCTTGCGCCTTTCGTCTAAAAAAGCAATTTCTGTACGGTCGAGACGATGGGCTTTCCTGATCCTCGGGAGCGCAGAGAGTATGTTCAGACCAGACAAGCCTGGCTGATGGCGGTTAATCAATAATCTCGTATGTGGATCCGGCGTACTATCACGGCTGTCAAAATCAAGGCGAAACATAGGGCGTTTGATTCCATCGGGATCAGCTATCCCTAGTTGTTTTCTTCTCAAGGAGTGCCGCTCCGGATCGAGGTAATCATACAAGGCTGGTGCAGCAATACGTGCCTTGACATCTTCGAGCAGTTTGTCCCTTAGATCCTTCATGATGATCGCCAACACTTCAGTGCAGGGGTTCATGTCTAGGGCTCGCTGCTTCTTTTCCTCCTCAATGTCCAGTTCTGCCTCTCTTTTCAACCGTTCGTTCTCCGCGTTATGCCGTTGTTCTTGTTTCAAGCGCTCGGGGCTTGGGCTGCGCTCGTAATGCGGATTACCGTAAGGTTGGCTTTCCATATTCATTATATACGTGAAAAGGAGTTTCATGTGGCAGAACTTGTAACAGCGTTCGGTTTCCTCTTCACCTCGTCGAGAGTTCTCAAAAACGATATAATACCCGGTTCGGTCACACCGAATATCTTTCCAGTCGAAAGCTTTCAGTCGTTTTTTCAGATGCGGCAGAGTCGAACTTAGAACAGGCACATAGCAATGCGCGATGAAAATATAGGGATCACGCTTTATTTGGCTCAGTATGGGAGTATCTTCGATCAATGATGGAATCGCTGGTTTTAAGAAGCTTGCCCTTGGGCCCTCAGGAATGACAGTCAAGGGACGCATGGATGATCTTCCAGAAGGACCCTTCGGTGCCGTCGGAGGTGGTTCGTTCTTGTTTAACCGGGCCTCTGGGTTTGGCTCATTTTTCGCGGGTGAATCGACCTTTGAGTAAATCCTCTGGGCTTCAACTGCCCTTGAAGCTAATTTCCCCGAGATTAATCCGTCGCGATCTAACTCGACCTTGATTCGGTTGTTGCCAATACGCTGTCCCTTCCGGCATTCGTAATATGCGCGCTTCGCCGCGCCTGATGCAGAAACCGGAACGCCACCGTGGAATGAAGCGCTGTCCTTATATTTGATGGAGCATATCCCAAGGAACCTGCCTGTATCGGGGTCCGTGCGATTGTTGATCTCAGAGATCTCGCCAAAGCTCGAAAACAGGGTACTTATTGGCGCAAGTGGCGTCAACGGATCGAAACCAGTAACGACAATTTGCACAGGAGGCCCCAACCCCACCGTGCTGGCCGAGTCGTAGGCCCAATGTTTTAGCGCGTATGGAGCAGGTCGGAACTTGGTCTTCTGTCTGCAGGCAGAACCACGCGTATAGTTTTGTATACTCAACCTAGGGTCCGGCAACAAGTCCTCTTGGCCATCTGTAACGATATCCACATAGCAGGGCTTCTTCCGCTTATCCTTGGGGGTAGCTCTATCCGGGTCGTACACCAACTTGCAGCCCCTTACAACTGCAACATGATGGCGTTGTGGCTGTTGCGTTGGTGTTGGGGGTGTATTAAGTAGTGTCATGGTGTTTTTTGGGGCTTCGAATCTCGACTCTTTGAGCACGTCCTCCCCCGATTCATTTGGCGCCCTCGTCCGGGACGGGCTCGGCTTGCTATGCGGCGACGACTCTGCATTGGTGAGCGGCGTGAGAGTATCCAGGCGGGCCTCATTTAAAGACCCTGTTACAGGCCCAGATGAGTTGTTGACTGGGGTATTCGCCTCCAGAGGACTCGCCAGACCATCTCCCACAACATCCTTGCGCGACTTGCTTAGATCTGGCCGTGGTCTTTGTATCGAATCCGTGAGGCCGTTGCCGTTGACTGCTTTGTCGGTCGTCCTGGCTCCGGCGAATATATGCCCTTCATCGGCATGCTCCCGGTCGACGTGAGCTCTTGGCCGCTGCCGCTCTTTGGTGGCTTTGGATCGTTTTTGTTGGATGACAGAGGGGGCGGTGGGGAAGAAGTCTGCGAAGCCTGCGGAAGAGCGCGACATAATGAGATATGGCTACAAGCCAGAACCGGTATCACTGCCACCAGTTGGCAGCATCCTTGATGGTCCCTACCAGCAAATGCGTGGATGATCAACCAAGAACACGCTCCTTGAAGAAAAGCGGCAGAATCCGATGGGTTCAGACAGGAGAAGCAATCACGGGCGAAGCTCAATGACGGCCTGAATCCAGTATAAATCAGTTACTGGGAACAGCGCACGTTCAGAAGAGCACCAAAAAGAACGACACCGAAGAGCTCTGATCGAGGCTGGTTCGAGAGCGACTGCTCGCATCTGTCCCAGGCCCTATCAACGCGACGGAAACGCGATGAGGCAGTCCACAGATGAGAAGTGGCGGGGCAAGAGTTTTTGTAAGGTCACCGCTGAAACCGAATAAATTCCAATTTGAGAAAGGAGTGTTGCGTAAGTTTATGAAATATCTCGCGCTTGAGGGGCGGGATTCTCTCTGGATAAGGTGTATAAGAAGCGGTTTTAAAAATGGGAAGGGGATAGGAAAAGTTAGGCGGTCGACGGGGACGACTTGTTCATTTCCTTGTCCCTTCTTCCAACACCGGGTCTAAGTCTACACAGGACAGATATCCCCAATGTTGACAATAATGAACAGCGCCGTTTGCGAACTGAGATATGTGTTTCCGCCATGTGGTGCCTTTGGGCTATAGCCTCATTTTGGAAGATTTAGGTACGTAGGTATGGTTTCCCGCTAGATCTCCCATGCATATTCATACAAGACCACCAATTCCTGACGCAGTCAGCTCACAACGCATTTCTGCTAGTCTCTCAGCTAGTTGTTATAGGCATGGCTTCTTGCAACCGTTTTCCATGATAACAATAACAGATGGTCGTATAAGCTCCGCGGGGATAACCTTAGATGGAATCGGCAGCAAACTACTCAACAGCTCTGTTGCCGTTTGCCTCCGAGAATATGGAAACAATGGATATGGCTGCGTCCGCAACTGGAGCGAATATTACTGTAGGGAACTGACTTTGCGGCAGACAATACCCGTGAAGAACTCCTCGACTAGTAGTGAAAGTCTGAATCATATGTCCGGTATTCATGACTTGTTTTGAGAAGACGTCCAGTTGGGGTTAGGCGACGTCTTATATTAGGTCACTATGCGGAGAGATCATTTTTAAATCAGGACATCCTCTGGGTTTCGCCTGCGAGCCACCTGCTTTGTGCCCTGTAGACTACACGTGGGGAACAAACTTCTACTCAGTCTGACGCCAACCGGCTGACGAATGACATCTCTTTAGTTAATTATGCACGAAGTAGTTCGCTCTTGAAGAGCAAATCCTCTGATGACCTTGCGAGGAAATCATCCATTTCCTTGTATCTAGTAAGCCAGCACCTAAAATGGATAACAGTCACAGCTTAACAGTACTTGCAGCTTGGAGAGGTTAGGTGAAACAACCTGGTTGTAGGCAACAGTATACGAGGGAAGAAAGAAGCACCAGCCAGTCTTGCAAGGCCAACACCTATCAGAGGAGGATCATTCGAACTGGCGAAACCAGGTATTATTGTCTAAATAGAAAAAAGCTATACCAATAAGGTTCAGGGCTTGACAGCAGAAAGTCTGATACCATAGCCAGTTACATTCATAGTAGTTGAGAGCGGAGTAGACTCGGGGGCATCGCTATTTGTCGGCTGGGGTAGTTAAAGCTGACAGCTGTACACTAGGAGAGAACAGCAGAGGCTGGATTCATCTTCTGCAAGTAGCAGTACACAGTGCATTGCTAACAGTGCAATGCTAATAATATATCTACGTAGTACCTCTACTGGATGCAAGGTACTGTTCCAAGTAGAAAGGTATCTATTCCGTACGTAGTCTTATAAATAGTTTCACAATTCCGGCTGGTGTAGACTACTCCGTAGCCTTCTCAAATTTCTAAGGGAACAAATTCTCATGCTACGGAGTAGACTCTTATGGAATTTTCTCGGAGACAACCGGAACTATGTAATATATGACCTTTTCTTCGACAACAAACAAGCAGTACCGAATATCTATGGGCATCAACGTGGTATAAAGAAGATACCCGTCACTTCGCTGGTTGGGCTCAGCGAAGTGACGAGTATGTACGGAGTAAATACTTTTTGCCAGGCACTCATAGTGCCTTCCTTGTTAAGGCCCAAGGGGTCCGCGTATCAGAATATTACTAGCTAAGTGGAGCAGCTTGGGCTTCAGCCTTCATGGGGTTAGCCTGGTACCTTGAACCACTCCTACGGAGTAAAATCCCAAAAGTAAAAATAGTACCTAGAGCGTGGCAGACTCTCAGCTTCTTCAGCCTTCAAGCACATTGCTTATCAATATCCTCCCATTGTAGACAGGGGTGAGGAGGTAAAGTTGTTATTTGGCAGACCCTAGTTATAAAGGATTCCAGGCTTTCTAATTCCAGCATTCCATTCCTCGGTGGGTAGCGGCCTTCAATTTGCCCGTTAGACTGTACAAGATACAAGATATAAATGGAATATCTGGGATATTTCGTAGAACACCAGCCCATGTGGCTGATAGCTTGATCACTCCAAATAATCACAAGTTCAAAGGCATCTATTACCTGGATGTCCCTGTAGTACATGTTATGGCCTTAGGAGCAGAAACCAACCATTCTTGGAAATCTTGGCTAAGATCCAGAGCAGTTTCAAATATTGGTTGTAAAGTTTGAGCTGAGCATTTCATAAATTAAGATTCAGCAATAGTTCCCAAGGAACCTTGTGTGCCTGTCCACACTAACAACAGTTGTGCCCTTGTTCATTCCCTACTGAGGTCATCTAATTTGACTCCTCTTGTTATCTTGTGTCAGGCAAGAATATATGCACTTGTTATTGCCTGTGCACTGTGTGGCTCGCAGAATCTGATTCATATTAAAAGGGGCCTTGGAATGATCAAGAAAGTACATTAAAAAGATAAGTGGGGATGTGGCTACTCTGTACGGAGTAGAGGCTTTGGGTGTGTTATTCTTAGAACTGTGTGGAGTAGTCAAAATAGTCATATTCAAGATTTAACAAGTCACTACCAGAGCTGAAGTAGACTACATGGCGGATAAAGGTGATTACTGATTCCACGAGAGCAAAGAATATAATCACCCATGTCCTCAATTTCAGCTCTCAAAGTGGGGATAACTAGTCTGCCACCCAACAACAACTGTCAACAGCCCACCCTACTATCACTTAGTACTATGTGTGTAGATAGCAGTGAGAACCATCTGGCTGATTAAATAATCCTTCCTATTGTCCTGAACAGCTGAACCAAGCCCCAGGCAAGAGAGTGAGACATTGCCGTTGCGTTGTTTGAGGCGCAGAGGTTTATTGGCCACTAGTCAGGGATGAAAGACGGTGTCCAGAGCAGTTTCCCTGGTTTAGAAGCCAAGGTGGGCCGATCTCACAACATAAAACCTTCATAACAACAGCTCCCCCCTCCTTCCTCCACCCTTTGTTATTCTCAATTCATAATCTTTTTTGTTCCCGCTCCCTGCTGCATCCATCCTTCCACTTCTGCTACGAACCCTTGCCATATCTCTCGCTAATTGATCCGACTTGTCTCTTCCTGTATGCCCCTCATTGCATTTCCTCCTCAATCCTTTCCCCTCACTAACAGTTTACCGTTCCCTGGTTACAGCTCAACGCTCCACGTTTCCTGAAGTATACCCCGGGTCTGTGACGGTTAGAACACAGCCCTCCCAACTTACTCTGTCACCACCTTTCCATCTTGTACTTGATCCCGCAGCCATGTGGTTAGTGAACCAGATATCCTGTTGACTGCCGGGCATAGTTCAACTCACATCTTCTAGTGGTATTTTCGGCTACATCAACTACCTCGTCGAAAGGGACCGCAAGTTTATCCTTGACACTTTGCTCAATGGTATGAATTCTCTCTACCGATCTTGCACACAAACCTCCAGCGTCTGGACTACATATCTCTGGTCTCGCCGCTTTGTCCCACCGCCGTTTCTGCGTGTCGTGGCATCTACTTACATCGATCTCTTTCAGGACTCTCGCGTCTCGAATACCGAGGATACGATTCTGCAGGTCTTGCAGTTGATGGAGACAAGAAGAATGAAGTCTGTGCCTTCAAAGAGGTTGGAAAAGTCGCCAAGTTGAAACAACTCATCGAGGAATCGAAACCTGATCTCACGAAATCTTTCGAGTCCCATGCGGGTATCTCACACACGCGCTGGGCTACGCACGGAACGCCCTCGCGCCTTAACTGCCACCCACACAGGTACGCTTTGTGCTCAAAGACATACATCTCTCGCTCTGCTTGTGTGGTGTATTCACGCAATCTAAAGTCGACATACTAACATTGAGGGATGTTTACAGATCTGACCCCAACTGGGAATTCTCTGTTGTCCACAACGGTATCATTACAAACTACAAGGAGCTGAAGGCCCTTCTGGAAAGCAAAGGATTCCGATTCGAGACTGAGACGGACACCGAATGTATCGCCAAGCTTACAAAGTATCTGTACGACCAGCAGCCGGACATTGACTTCACTGTCCTGGCCAAGGCGGTCGTCAAGGAACTCGCAGGCGCCTTTGGCCTTCTGATCAAGTCTGTGCACTACCCCCATGAAGTTATTGCCGCTCGTAAGGGTTCTCCCCTCGTGATTGGTGTGAGAACTTCCAGAAAGATGAAAGTGGATTTCGTGGATGTGGAATACTCTGAGGATGTCGCTCTTCCTGCCGAGCAGGCTTCTCAGAACGCCGCCATCAAGAACTCTGCCACAGGACTTCTTGCCCCTCCTGACAAGTCTCTTCTTCACCGGTCCCAGTCTCGTGCGTTCCTGTCTGACGACGGAATCCCTCAGCCGGCTGAGTTTTTCTTGTCATCTGACCCTTCCGCTATCATTGAGCACACTAAGAAGGTTCTGTACCTTGAAGATGATGATATTGCTCACATCCACGAGGGCCAGCTCAATATTCATCGTTTGACCAAGGATGATGGCACATCTAACGTCCGTGCTATTCAAACCATTGAACTTGAACTGCAAGAAATCATGAAGGGCAAGTTTGACCATTTTATGCAGAAGGAAATCTTCGAACAGCCTGAGTCCGTGGTGAACACAATGAGAGGTCGCCTAGATGTCGCTAACAAGCAAGTCACATTGGGAGGGCTTCGGCAATACATTTCGACCATTCGCCGTTGCAGGAGAATCATATTTATTGCCTGCGGTACTAGCTACCATTCGTGCATGGCAGTTCGCGGAGTGTTTGAAGAGCTCACAGAGATCCCCATTGCCGTTGAACTCGCTTCCGACTTCTTGGACAGACAGGCACCCGTCTTCCGTGATGACACATGCGTGTTCGTTTCTCAATCCGGTGAGACTGCAGATTCACTCATGGCACTTCGTTACTGTCTTGAACGCGGAGCTTTGACCGTTGGTATCGTCAACGTTGTTGGATCCTCAATCTCTCTTCTTACCCACTGTGGTGTTCATATCAACGCTGGTCCGGAAATTGGAGTGGCCTCCACTAAGGCATACACGTCCCAGTTTGTTGCTATGGTCATGTTCGCTCTTTCTCTAAGCGAAGACCGAGCCTCGAAGCAAAAGAGACGGGAGGAGATCATGGAAGGTCTCTCGAAAATCTCTGATCAGTTTAGAGAAATCTTGAAGCTCAACGAGCCTATCAAGCAAATGTGCGAGCGCTTCTTCAAAAACCAGAAGAGTCTCCTGCTGCTGGGTAGGGGCGGCCAATTTCCGACTGCTCTTGAAGGTTAGTAGAAAACCATTCCCAACATCACTCCTCAAAAGTTGGATGCTAACCCATTTAATAGGTGCGCTCAAGATCAAAGAGATCTCCTACCTGCACTGCGAAGCCGTCATGTCTGGGGAACTAAAGCACGGTGTTCTCGCTCTCGTTGACGAGAACTTGCCTATCATCATGATTTTGACCCGAGATGGTCTCTTCACCAAGTCTCTGAATGCCTATCAGCAAGTCATCGCTCGAAGCGGCCGCCCGATCGTGATTTGCAACAAGGATGACCCTGAATTCTCCTCTGCTCAGACCGAGAAAATCGAGGTGCCAAAGACTGTCGATTGCCTTCAAGGACTTCTCAACGTTATTCCTCTCCAGTTGATTTCCTACTGGCTCGCTGTAGGAGAGGGCCTGAACGTTGATTTCCCACGGAACCTCGCAAAGTCTGTTACCGTTGAGTAAGCGAGTGAGAACAGAAAAGCATTTTAGAATTAGCGAGATGAGGATACAGGGATTCGGCGGTGTTATTGCCTCTTCAGCATGTTTATCTTCACAGGTTCTATGGAAAGCTCAAGCGTGCTGGGCGCAGTCCTCCCATCTTCTCTTTTCAAGACTGCACTGTTTATTTGTATTACGTCTTATCTGTTTAGCCAAGTTTAATAATGGTAGGTGGCAACCATCAAACTCAAGACGTTTTTATCACTATGCCTAGAACGTCTTCCAAAACCTAGCCTTGGCATCCTACAAATCCGAGAAGGTCGGACGGCTCCCGACGTAGCTAACAGCATGTACGAAGTTCGGCTCACCGTTCCCCACACTCCGGAGCTCGGAATGAAACTCGGTCTCAACGACGGAGCCTGAAAGACTGTTGCATGCCTACTACTACCTACAAGTGCCATTCTGAGAGACAAAGTTTCCCTGCACGACAGATATTCTTGTTATTCAACTCATTTCTTTTGGTCCTGAAATACCTTTCCAGCCATGCAATCTATCAAGGGCCCCGGAGCTCCCCAGATCTATGACGGTGCGATTTATACCCCTCATCCCCCATCCACTTCTTCCGATCGTCAACGGTCTGCTGATGAATACTAGGATCTGGGCTACGAATTGCCATTGTCCACGCAAGGTGGAACATGGGAATTATTGGTCCTCTTGTAGATGGAGCTAAGAAAACACTGCAGGCAGCTGGAGTTGCACAGGATCACATCGAGGTTCATACTGTTCCGGGAAGCTACGAACTACCATACACTGTCCAGCGGTGAGTATTCTTGACGTTGCTCGAAGAGGCAGACGGGCTGCTCTAGAAGTGGCAATAACAACGATCTTACGTCTCAACAAGCAAGAGTAGGCTCTAACATTTACTTCCCATGACAGTCTCTACTCTGCCTCCCAACTACAGGCCGCCAACGCGGGGTCATCTGGAGAGGGCATCAGTGCAACCGATCTGCTTACTTCTTCTACGACGGACCTAAGCAAAACCTCACCGACGGCCTCAAGTGCGTCATCAAAACCATACGACGCCATTATTGCGATTGGGGTCCTCATCAAGGGCGAGACAATGCACTTCGAGTACATCGCGGATGCGGTCACCCATGGCTTGATGCGTGTCCAGCTAGACACAGGCGTTCCTGTTATTTTCGGCGTGCTCACTCTTTTAACCGAAGAGCAGGGTCTCGAGAGAGCTGGGCTGGGCTCCAAGGGAATGCATAACCACGGTGAAGATTGGGGGAATGCGGCTGTCGAACTTGGAGTCAGGAGAAGAGGTTGGGCAAAGGGTGAGGTTGTTTAAGAGATTGCGGTAGCTAAATATCGGTGGCGAACGAAATCAAGTTTGAGGAAATTATCATGGGTCCTAACCCTGGGAACATGATATTGAGAGGCAATTGAGATTAATCTTTTCCTTTTATCCGTGTCCCTCCTTACCAGTCCCTGGAAGCCAGCTAGCTCACTCTTCCATTCGCTCGCCGACATTACCGGTTCCTTTCGCTCCCTCGTCTTCTTCCTCGTCGTCCCCTTCAAGTGCTCGCTTAGCGGCTCGTTCTGCCTCTTCCAGTAATTCTTTGGGCACCTCTTCATGTCTGCCTTGTGTAGGACCGTCTAGTGAGCTAATCCAGCTCATCTCGAGCTCAAATTCCTTGTCCTTGTTGTCTTCATGGGCGACGTAGATAATCCTAGCCGCTTCTTTCACAGCGTCATGCAGACTGAGTTTCTCCGATGCCAGGTCTAGCTTTTCGAGTTCGGCTTTGGCCGCCTGCCTCCCCTTACCCGTCGCAGCTCCATAATATCCCTGAAAGGATGTTAGCATGCACTAACCATGTGGAGGGTATCAGATGACATGCCCAATACAACCCGCTCGGCTCAATCATATATAGACCCGGGCCACCGGATTTCGCCCCCTCGACTTTCCCGCCAGAGCCCGACTGCGGACCACTCCCTACTTGGCCATCCACAGCGAGCTCAGCTTCAGAGTCCCAGCCCCCCATAATTGATGTCACTCCGAATGGCCGTACACTTGAGTACAATGTGTAGGCTTGCACGTAGCCACCAAGACGGTTAGCTAGAGCCGAAACCGGAATAGGACCCTTGTATATTCCTCGCCATGACGACGCTTCATCGCGAGCACGGGAAACAAAATGACGGCCATCGGGGGCTAACCCGGAAGACACCTATTGTTAGAAGCTCCTGGGTTAGCAAACGTCGCGTCTTTCAATGTCATTTGGATGTAGAATTGACGTACAATACCAACATGGCGATCGACAGTAGATATTCGTTTATTCGCACCAGGCTTCAGAAGCTTGCTGGTGATAATTTTCTCGACGGCCAGAACAACACCATCCTTGCACCTGATGCCGACGGATGTCCCGCCGTTCTCGACAGCCTTAACAGCATATTCAACCTATCAACTGTGATGAGACCAATATTCCATAGCAATGTCAAGCCGGTAACAATACCTGGAAGTTCCGACCGTCCGGCGAGAACACCGAGTTGGAAAGATCGTAACCGGTGCCGATGGATGTCTGAATAAGCAGCATTAGTTGGATTGTCAGCTAATGGGGGTTGGGTTTTCTGCAACGAACCATGGCGAAGCAGAGATATATCGCAGATTGTAGGGCAGCGGTTACAGCAGATTTCAGAGGTATAGGGAGTTGGCTGGATCAATGGCTTAGAGGAGATCACAAGAGGTTGGGGAAGCTTGTGAAATGTTGCTGGTGATGGTACGTAGCACCTGGAGCTACCTAGCTTACCGCCCTCCCATTCAGGTCGACGAGTCAAATCACATGACTATGATTGATTCTCTTTGTGTACTCCGTACTCCGATACCCCCGTACTCCGTACACGTCCGGGACAAGTATCGGGCTCGGATTCTGCCAGCAAGGCTCAGAACCACCATTTTCTGCCTTTTACCACAACTGCCACAACTGCCACGCAGATTTCTGAACCCCGTCCACGGTCCGGGACAAGAACAAATAGATACGATGGAGACTAGGCTACTAGCTCAGCCAAACGAGGCCAAAGGTAGTAACTTGGCTACTCCGGCTTTTCTACTCCTACCTCTGATCTTCAAAGTTCACTCATCAATTAGATACAGGCCCCGCTCGTGATCTCCCTGCGTGCCCAAACCTTTGGGCATCCCCGCTCGCATCCCACCTTCCCCTCTCAACCCCGCCAACCAGCCATCAAATAGTCTGTGCACGGAGTGGACTATATATGCCTTGCTCATGTTGGCTTGAGCACATAGCTGCTTCTGTATCAAGAGTTGTGACCAATATACCCCATCTACCCACCCTTCAAGCTTGCCAGTGGATTATCGACCCTGCACATTGTTGTGTCGACCCTCAGCCTCGTTTGCCATGATTTTGAGTCATCGAGCTTAGATCTAATCCTTGATATATAATCGGACTGTGTTTCCTTTTTGACTTCCCTGTCCTCGCGCCTTTTATAATCGGCAAGATGTCTCCGTCTATGCCGAATAGCTGTCCGTTCTGTGGGCATGTTACGGATATCTCTGAGATTTTAAGTGATTTCGTGGGAAACCCGCACTGTACTCAGGTAGATACCTCCCCAAAAGATGTCACTCGCTTGATAAATAACCAGGGACCTTTTCCAGTGCGGTTTGTCAGCATCCGAGAGTAATTCAAAAGCACAGGATGATCTCGTGTCCATGTTCAATACAAACATGACTATGGGCCCGTCCTCGATCCCCGAAACAACAGAATTACCTGCATCTCCTTCCCCAACCACATATAGTATTGCACAGCATTACCATCATTCTGCGCATGTAGCACATAAAGCCGCCGTGCGGGGACTAGCGCCTCTGCAGGGATATACCTTCTCAGGAACCAACGGAACCGCTAGTCAAGTATTCGAGATGCTCATGGAACACCATATTAATCCATCTTCCTTGTCACCGAGTCAACTGGAGTTATTCTCAAATGCCTTGCCAAATCAGCAAAGCCGCTTAATTCAAATGTGGCAGATCTGCCCTGGACCTAGCAAAAATGCAGCGTTGTTTCCTCAAGTGGGCCAAGTTCAAGATTTCAGGATGTGCGATTCGACTCGGACACCAATTAATGGCCACAACACACATGATTCTGCCGAGCCATATATGCTTGCTGGGTATGGTCTCACAGCTCACGATTCTGAAAGCCGTCGAGTTCCGGAAAACGAGCATACGCCAGGCTCCCTGTATAGACTTTCCAGGGACCCTGTATATCAGGCCGGAGGGCAGCGTTGGTGGGAACGGACGCAGACTACGGCGATGGACTGCCAGTGATCGGTGAGGGTATGTAAATGAAGAACTTCTGTAAAGGGGCGGGAAAGGTGTTTTCGCGGTCTTATGTTTAGCTTAGACACAATTTGGGAATGTCCATAGTCTACAGAGGAGGTCTTGCAGGCAGTACATTACTATCGATGATCAACAATAGACGTTCGTGGTATTTGTTTTCCCTGGCTAGAAGAATACATGTATACATGTAGATAAGGCTGCATTTTAGCAGTAAGAATAAACGTTGAATGCCAAACCAGACTTCCCTTGACCTGCCCGAGGTAAATATAGAAAACTTCAGCATAAGGCTCTTAGGAGGTCGAAGATTCGTTTCTTGTTTTCTTTTCTTTCTATTGTTTTTGAACTGTTCGGTATATCTGTGCGGGTCTTTGCGCTTGCCCACTGTTCTTCCCGGGTCTTCGTCTGGAAAGAGCGAGGGAGAAGTGGGCTGGAAATTTAGCATGCAGACAATAGGCGGTAGCTGGTAGGCGGAAAAGAGTGTCATGAAGTGAATTCGTACGGCGGATTGCCCGTCCGTTTCGTTGAAGCTCAGGATTCATATCGTGCTGACTGGAAAAGCAAATAATACTATAAGCCACGTTAGAGCTTGAAGATACATAGCGGCAATTTATTTGTGGGACATACTAACAGTAATTACTGTTTGCCAAACTCCTGCTCCAGTTGGGCGAACTCCTCTGGGCTAAGTTCAGCCAAGAAGGCCATGGCGTCCGCAACGGCCTCAGCAGAGCGCTTAACATTGTCGATGGCTTCGGCAGCACGCTTGGCCTTATGGCAGACCTG